TTAAATGTATGGAATTCGTGTATTTCCTTGTAATATGTGTTTGGGGGTAATGAGACTTGGTGATGGGTTGACATGTCCACATTGATTAATTCTAGTAATGAAAAAGGGGTAATAAAAGGCAATGTGATTAATTGTTTGTGTGTGATGTGTTGAGAATTGTTGGTGACGGGCATTGGTACTAGTATCGGTGTTATAAAGGAAAGTTTATTACTATAGAATGCGGATTGTAATCCGAGAATGCCAAAGCATATGGGTATTAGCTGATATATTATTGACTTGATTTATTATGTTTGATTGTGTTCTTTATTGAACTCGTATATTGGTGATAGCTGAGGTGATTACATATCATATTGATAATTGATTGAGATGTATCATCCCTTTTATTGAAATCATATTCTGCACATGCATTGACATGAGATTGAGTATAAGTTGGGCACATGGAGATCGTCCGTGCTGGGGATGGTAAGATGTTAAGATTATAATTTGGGCACGTGGAGATTGTCCATGCGAAAATTGTTTGATTTATGATAGTGCGTTGAGATTGTCCGCACAGACACGTGGAGATCGTTCGTGTCGGTATATGGACCTCACGAGTCCCCCATGGGTCATGAACTCTCGATGTATTTCCAAGGAGTATCATGTATATACAGCTGAGAGAGTATTTGGTATTCTGAGGCATATCATTTCATGGTGTTGTAGACACGTAATTTTTTACCGAACTTAAAATTTTACACCATTTTTAGAGCAGAAATATTTTTATAAATATAAATTAAATATTTTAACTTTTCTCTTATTTTATTAAGTTTATTTTAAAAGATTTGAAAACAACAAAATAGAATCACTTTTTAAGGTAAGTTTTATTGTCAATTGTTTAAAAAGAAATGAAAGATTACAAAAAATCTATATTTGAAATTAAGTTTTTATAAATAAGCTAGTATTATTTAATTGATCTTATCTTATAGCTAGTTGACTTTTTCTTAGATTTTTATTAATTTTAAATAATTAGTTGATATGCTATTATAATCTATTATTTTAAGAGTAAAATAAAACTAAAACTAAAGTAAATAAAAAATAACCTAATTAATCTAACAAACCTACCCCACTCCTATACCTACCCAAAAACATACTACACGTAAGAAAATAAAAGGAAAAGAAGAGCAAAAACAGTTGGATGCTTTTTAAAATAAATAAACAAATAAACAACAACAATACCATACACCCCCCACACTCCCACTTTCCCACAATTCTCTACACTCCCTCACATTCTCCTCAACTAAACAACCCACTACCCACTCCTATACCCACTAGACTACTACTAAAATCTGCAAGAAAAAGAAAAAAACCTATCCTATATATATAGGACACATACGTACAAATGGAAAAAAAAAGAAAAAAAAAAGAGGACACACAAAAAAGGCATACATAGAGAGATAGGCATTAAAAAAAAAGCAATACATATTGTACTTTCTCACATTGTGATTGAAGATCTAGAAATCTATTTTCACGGTTTCAAGTTCGTGGCTCCTGATTATTTGTCATTTCTTCTCGTTAACTAATTTTCACAAGAGGTAACATTTATTTGTATTTTTATTTTTTGCATAATTTTATGTCATTATTGTGCAAGAATTAATTTCAATATATTGAAGTTGTTCAGATTTCGTATGTGTTCAATCTGTTAATATTATTAATGTTGTGTACTGAAATATATTCGAACATGCTATATGACATGTGAGTATTTCTTACATGTTTAAGAGTCCATTCCTCGCTCTTTTTCCTTAATTAATTATCAAAGTTTTTATGTTTGTGTCTTACTAAGTTGAATGAATTCTTTGTTTGATAGTAATTAGAAAAGTATTAAGTCATGTTTTACGCTATAATATGTGTGTTGTCTTGATATTTAGGGTTCTAACAAAACATAATAATAATAAACTTGTTAGGATAAGGAGAAGCTACGAAGACAAATTAAAATTAAAATAGATTAAAAAGAAAAAGAAAAATAAATGTACAGAATGTCAAACAAAATAAAAATTATTATAAAAATATACAAAAGGAACAACGAAAAAAAAAATAATGAAACAAAAGGAAAAAAAAAGAAAACAAAAACATAGAACGACAAAAATTAAAGTAAAAAGCAAAGAAGAAAAACAGAATGAAAAAGAAAAAAAAATAATGGTACAGAACGTTTAAAAAAAAAAAAAGAAACTTACAAAGAACAACAAAAATAAAAAATAATAATATAAAATTAATAAAACAAAGTGTTCCTATTATTCTATATGACATGTAGATAATATTAGTTTAAATTTAGTATAAATACTAAAGATTTTTTTTATTTTTTTATTTTTTATCTTTTCTCTAAAAAGGGCCTTTTATGGGTTCATTAATTATATTATTAGATTTGGTTTAATAACTTACAAAAAATAAAAGTTTTATCTTAAGATTTTTTTACTTTATTGTTAATAAAATAGGTCAACATGTGTCATTAATCATTAGTTGAAGCGTGATTTTAATTCATATGTTTGTCTTATTCAAAATTTATTATTTAGATTTAGAATAGTAAAAAGTATATATATAAATTAACCATGCTCTGTTTTGTTAATATCTGGAAGCATAATTGCGTCAAGATGATAAGATTCAACATAATAAAATTTAGTAAGCCGAGTGGGGGTAATTGAAATATAGGAAATTTTTTGAACACTATAATATTTTGATGTCTCTATCTATTTTAGACTATTTTAATATAGTCATAGGTATTTATTAGGCTCTATTATACATTATATGAGTAATAATAATTAAATTTCATCTCAATTAAGAATGTGGTTCCACATCTTTTTGAGATACTTAATAAATTCAAGGATGCGGTTACGCACCTTGACCAAATTATTTTGATAATTAATTTTGTTAATTCAAACCAAGAAGTGTAAATTGAGATTATGTGATGTGATGAACTCGAGAGGGGAAGACAGTTATGTCTCCAAATGTCAAGAGCGAGAATGCAGTTATGCATCCGGTTTAAGACTAATAAAAATTCAACAATAAGCAAACCATAACATATAGACACAAATTATCCAAAAAAAAATATATATCAAGATAAGTATAAGTCAATAAAAGCGACCGTACTAGAACCACGGGATTCGAGGGATGTCTAATACCTTCCCCTCGGTCAACAGAATTCCTTACCCGAATTTCTGATTCGTAGACCAAATAAAGAGTCATTTCCTTATGATTAGGGATTACACAAAAAGGTGACTGGGAACACCATAACTCAATTCCCAGTGGCGATTCTGAAAAACAAAATAATCCCTTAATCAATAACGTCACTTAAAATGGAAAAACCCTCCCGCCGCTGTGCGCAAAAAAGGGGTGTGACATCTCTGGCGACTCACGCTGGGGACTAACCAGAATTCGAGCTTTGTATATTTGACTTTTACTTTATTTTATTATATTGGATATATTGTTTTGATGACCAAATGTGCTACTTGTTGCTCATTTATTGCTTTGATATGGTTGAAATGTAAATAAGTGTCTTCTCGCACACCATCTGAGTCTCTAAAAAATAGGATAGTAGGGAATGCAGTTATGCATCCCATCTTCTTTTGAGATAAAGCTGGAGTGTCTAGGCACCCAGTGAAGGATTTTAGTCACACATGTTAGGCAGGGTTAGACCAGCAATGAAGTCGGAATAGCGCTGCTACCGATAAGTTGCCCCTCCCTAGCTCGAGCTGTCCACTCGAGTAAGCCAGTCTAGATACCTATTTCCTTCAGGATCGAACCTAGTAAAATTGAAGCATTTACCAGCGTATTCCTAGTAGGCTCCGCTTATTTGTATAATTTGCATTTGACTTAGTGAGACTCGACATAATGGTTGGGTCCGTCTAGGATAAGAGACCCTCTTCTTGACCAACATGTGCATTTTATGTGTTATTTGTAAAAAATTATGTGGAAGACCTCGATT